AACACAATCGAGGAATTTTCCGAATCATGAACCACACAGCAAAATTTGTGATCTCAAACGAAAACCAACTCCACGTTTTATCCGACGAGTCAGCAACCACAGCTGTGGACCGTTCATCAAAGTAGCTGCCGTACACTTTGTGTCCGTATCGCTCAGTCGCTCTGTTTGCCGTGTGAACGACCCAGACGCTTAAATCTGTCTCGGCCAGACGTACAGCACGCGAGGACCTTGAACATGTAGACAATTCAGCGCACACGCGATCCGCAGGAAACCATAAGCGCTCGGACCTCTATGGGAATACCATCGATCGACTCGAAAGATTGTGGCGACCAATCAAAAGCCCATGTGGCCGCACCCAGATCGGTACTAGTTTGCGGTTTGCCTTCCTACCATAAAAGTGTACGAATTGGAATCCAGTGTAGCAGTTGCCAAGGTAACTTCCATCGCAAATGTTCCAAGCACACAGCGAGCCAGTTGAACCTACACAACAGTAAACCAGCTTCACTGTGGTTCTGTTCAGTAGGTATAGTCACCACACTGGTCAAGTTTGTACGTGAACTCTCGCAGAAGTACAAAAGACTGGTATAAATGATTGAACAAATGAGGGGCACCAAAAGCGATTCGTTTGAAGAAAGCGTGACAGAGAGTAAATCTCAGTCATTCCCATCAGGCTCCGCATTGGAACCGAGGAAGAAGACTGAACAGCGCCCTAAAAATGCACCATCTGTGGCTTTAAACGTCAATACCATCAGTTGCTCGAATATGCCTGAAACGACCTCCGCCAGTCCGATTGCAATGAGCACGGTCAGAGTCTCGTCTACCTTCCAAACGGTTCCGAAAATGCAGAAGGACTTCGACACCAGTGGTGGTTGGAACTTGCTTGCTGCCAAAGATGACCGAAAACCTTGACATTCGGCCACTCTTACTGGACCCAGATAAAAAGAAGAAGACGAAGCTGTACCCACCCAACCTCCATCGGCTGTATAAGAAAAACTGGTCGTTTAACTTCAACCCGAATTGCACGTAGCATACCAGCGGTAATCTGTGCCAACGTTCCAGAAGCAACGTCAAACGCATTAAAAAAATAACTTGATGACGTGAACCAGTGGAACTACATATGTGACATTATAACTGTTGTAGGTAAGCCCGTCAATTAGATACGCCTTAGCCGACACCCAAACTCACAGCACTACGGTGAACCAGGAATGCTCCGAGTTGGGTTGACTTCCGCCAATGAAGCAGAAACTGTTCTGTTTTCGACAGTACGCCTCCGGAATGGGTCATGTTCCATCCGCCCATTCCCGGATATTCCTTTTAGCGAGCGCAGATAGGTGAAGCATTACTTGAACGAAAATCGGAAGGAATCCGTAGCCCGGACCATCCGTGTACACGGTATTCCCGAGGCCGGAAGTCATGATAAGCGCGAAGCGACTAGTCATGACCAGGTACAACGGCCATATAATCGCGAGACACTCTCCCTGGAAAACGTCATATTGCAATCTATCTCCAGGCTGCGCCAATCGCCAAACTAAAACGGATGTGGCCCGAGGATGGTGAAAGTGGTCCTTCAATCTAGGCGAATGTCAGCAATGATGCTGGAGTGCTGGTATGCGGACCCCAGCAGCCTTCCTTCCGAGCTCCAGATCAAACCAGCATCTGCTAAGCAAACACAAGAAAGCAGCCACTTAATCGCACCACTTCCCAACAAGGGTTCGGATAACCTGTCAACTAGTCAGCGAAACTGACAAACACACTCCATACATTACCTGCAAACAGAGAAGCAAAAAGGTCTGGTGGGATCCGTGGGTCTGATACAGATGAGCTCATCATCGCCACACCCAAAAAGGATTAGTGGCCGACCTTCCACCGGTCGGCACAACATTTTACCCAAAACACGCATCCGATTCATTGTTAAAAGCAGAGAAACTTTCCTGCATGTACACCAATGCACAAGGTCTCCTGAACAAGCTTGCCGAACTGCGGCTACATTAAGCGTCACATGCCTGGGACCTCAATTTTGTCACGGAAACTTGGCTATACTCAGAAATTACTGACTCCGAGGTCGCGATACATGGTATGTCCCTTCTCCGTAAAGATCACCCTTCAAGGGCGGGGGTACTTTTATAATACCGCAACAACTTGCAGTTCGAACCGGTGGTGGATCCAGAAATGCTAATCATAGACACATTTTGACGCAGTCTGCGACTGAGACGCAATGACACTTGCCTTTTGGCCGTTGTTTATCTTTCTCCAATGTTCACCCTAGTGATGGACTCTTGCCTGGTATTATCCTCGGAAGGGGTCCTACGATGACGATAAATCCATGTTTTCATCTCCGGCTGCTGCAATATTCAGGAATTGGAAGTTCCGATATCCCCCAACTAGCAATTCAAGGCAGACCTGCAGGAGTATATTGCAAACATTCCGCTCTTCAGCCATGTAAGTTTACCCACCCGATTCAGAGCCGGAACTAAACCATCTGTGATCAATTTAGTACTCACGAACGAAGAGTTCATGATTGAGAATCCAAGGATGAAGAGCTCACTGGGGCGGAGCGACCGCATACCATAATTTACGACTTTGTGTGTTAGGCGGAGCATCCACAAGAACGTAATAACTTGCTTCGAAAAATCACCCACTACGACGTACCGGCAGAACTTGTGGGAGATTCCATCTAGGAGATTTCCGACGACCATTCCATTGACACTGCTTGGATGGAGTTTATTGGCAATTTCAGAGATCTGGTTAAACCTGCATCGGTCAACAAACCCATACGTTCCGCAAGATCACAAGCATTCATCCGGAGCAGAACCCGAAAACACATGACCGTGAGAGGCTTAGCTTGGCATGTGTATAGAGAGAACCCTAGCCCTGACAACTGGAGTAACTATTTTGTGTGTCGAAATCACTGTACCACCCTTGTGCGTGAGCACAAATTAGTACACCAGCAGAGACTAGCGAAAAAGTGTTGTGGTAACAAAAAGCTTCTGTACAAACATTTTAAAAGCCAAGAGTTGACAACATTCCCACGGAAGCGCTGCAGGTGGCACCTACGAGGATAGCTAAACAATTAACAACATATTTCCAAAGAAGCCTGGACGAACAACAGGTACATAGCATGCGGAAGCAAGGCGCATTATCACGATTTTCAAACGTGGTAACCGTTCAGAGCCCGCCAACTATCACCCAGTGATTCTGCTCCCGGGGCTCTCAAAGGTGCTGGAATTGATCTTAACTAAGGCTGTAATGGCTTACTTCGAAAGACCTAACATCATAGCACCGGAGCAACACGAATCCGCCAGCATCAGCCATGTACTACCAACTTACTGTTTGTCCATGGCAGTTTGACCGAGATAGCTGACAGTGGGACCGGCATTGATGTCATCTACCTAGACTTTCCTAAAGCCTTCGACCGCATAGATCACCTCACTCTTCTCTAAAAGATGCAAGCCTACGGAGTTGGGAACCCTGTCACTGGATGGACCAGAAACTTCCTATTTCAGCGGCGCCTTCAGATTCGAGTTTGGGGCACATTTTCTGATCCAATTAATGTGAACTGCGGTGTTCTACAAGGGTCATTGTTAGGGCCGCGTTTTTCTTGTTTTTCATTAACGACCTTGCGAATGTGATCGAGTCAAATTTCCTGCTTTTTGCCGATGACATCAAGATATGGCGGGCAATTGACTGTCAGGATGATCACGATATATTGCAACGAGACTTGGCTTGCGCTTTTGAATGAGCGAAGTTAAATCTACTTCCGTTTAACACCGACAAGTGCAAAACCGTGCATGTCCGCCGCAAGCCCACGTACGCATATTAGCTTAGAGATGACATGCTGTAAACCACCTCACAAGAGCGAGACCTTGGGGTGGTGATCCAAGACGACCTCGGCTGTTCGACACAGTCGTTGAAGGTGTCCAAAACTGCGAACCAACACGTTGATCTGTTACGGAAAGCGTTCGACCGGTCAGATCCCCCCATCTTCCCCCAAATGCTCAATGCATATGTCAGGTCCCATGTAGAGTAAGCGATCCAGGCTTGGTAACCTGGGCTAAAACTCGATCTGGATTCGCTGGAGACCGCCGAGCTAAACGCAATGAAAAATGTGAAAGGTTTGTCCTACCTGCAATACCATAGGCGACTGAAAGCCCTGGGAGTGTACAGCAGAAGATATCGCCGTCCACGGGGTGACCTCATGCTGGCCTTCCAGATACTGTAAAACCCCTGTCACGCTTGTCGCCACCTCCTGAAGCTTAGCTGCAACACGGAATTGAGGGGGTCATAACTTGAAACTTGCCACCCAATACAGTCGACTTGAGTGTCGCCGGAATTATTTTTCCCTTCGAGTTTGTCAACTGTTGAGTGCTCTTACAACGTTTGCCATTTCCTCGCCCACGCTACTCATGTTTAAAAAAATGACTCGACGAGGCTTTGCACCATTGACATTAGTCGAGCTGATTTCTATTCATTGACTGACCACAAGACGCAGGCAAACATTGTGCTCACCGACCCCACGAAATCGGGTTAGATGCTTAAATCAATGTGCTAATATGGATAATATGGTAGGTCAACTGAAGTTGTTTCCTTTTGTGCAACTTTTCTGAACTGATGTTATTCCCACAAAATAGTCCTATGGGACTTGTCAAGCATTGGCTTTTTATCTGTATTATACCATTGTTCCATTGGACAATGTATTAAAGTCCCCTTACTGCCACCGTGTATGCGCGAGTGTCCTGGGTCGTGTGTTGACGTAGTTACAAGAGACTCGGAAGGAACCTGCCGGCAATCAACTATTTACTGAAACTATGCGTTAGTGGTGAACGCTTGTCCATCAGAGCATGATGGCAGCTGTGCACCGGGAACAGGCAACAACCTAGGGATGGTCGCGTTACTTAGTTCGCCTACCAAATAGTTCAGTGAGGATGATCTCAGCGCAGCGTGCTGTGAAGAAAACGAGTGAACAGCAGAGAGCTAAATATGCGGTTCATGTGTTACCATACCTCCTCACTTGGCCTTCCACAATGTTCTCCTTCAGGAGTGAACGGCAATACGTGGGGACTTGAAAAAAGAAATAAAAAGTCGCAGTTGAAATACTGGGTATCAAAGCCAATAAAACACGTACAATTTCGTCTTTCCTACAAAAACGGAAGCTACTGCGCATAAGTAAACAGATGTGCACAAGCTTAAAACGGTTAGTGATCAATGTTTAAGTAGAATTGCCGGTCACATCTGCGATTAGGGCAAAGATACACCCTTGTCACTAAAGCAGTACAGCACCTGGCTGAAGGCTTTGGTAATCCGCCTGATGAGAAACCAAGGCGTACGCAAAGTTAAGAACCACATAAACATAGATTTATGGCAATTCAAGTGGCTACACAACGTCGACAGGGCTTGGATAGATGGTACTCTGCCGTGTTCATCTATTCATCCAAGAATGGATCTAGCAGACGGCAGCCTATGCACTCACAAAGTCTTATTTGCCATCAGAGTTACTGTGCCGAAGAGTTCGACATATAGCTGGCCATATTCGCTAAACAACCTACTGGATTTCCTTGTGACGAACACTTTGGCACGAATAGTTCTTAGTGGTCCCCGAAAATATAGATATCAAATAATCTGTCTGATTTTAACGGATGCTGCTGTTGAAGTGGCAACTTAATCAGCAACCTCCACATCAGAAACCAAGTTAGGTAAAAAGCTAAATGTTAGTTGGTGAATGGTCACCTATTCGATTCTCCAACTGACTACTTCCAAAATTCTTGTCCATGGCGCTGTGTGAATTTTGTCGCCCGCTATTTTAAATATGTTAAACGGACTTTTCACCAAATGCTTTTGTACCTATGGTGGTAAGTACCACAAATTCACTGACTGTAGTCTCTAATTCGCCTGATTGTACGGCGTTTCGAATGTCATTTTATCCCGTTTGTGATGCAATTCTGACTAGGCACTTACTTTCGATAAGCGTACTTGCAGGCCAACAGTAAATGAGCACTATCTGTTCCTAGCGCTCCGCAAGGGGTGAGCCCTATCCCCGACTCGACTCACTGTGGCATCGAAACCACTATACTTTGTGCCGTTCCGGAAGTGACTCAACAAAGGTAGTCTTTCTTCCGACGAAATGCTCTTGGTTGTCTGGGGCTTAATCGGTGGGATGCCCACTGCCATATGAAACAAGTGAGAAGTTCGAGTTGTTGCTTTACACAGGGTTACTTTAAATACTTTCAGTAGAGACCAGTAAAATTAGTTCAGTACTATTCCGAAGGTACTTTTTGGAGGCAAGCACGGAAGTAGGCTCTTGTTAAACATCACTGTCTTGCATCGCTTAATTTTCTCACATACCGAACTGAACGAAAAAATAAATAAATACGTCCGTTTCTGTTTGAAAACCGTGCTACATCTGATACGCTGCTTTAAAGATATTTGTGCAGTGAGGTGATGTGTATGGTATAAAACAAAGTCGGTTGAGCCAAAACAGTTACTCATCTGTCATAAATCGCAACGCATGAGTTAGCAGGTATGAGTTAATTCATAAATTATGTTCATGGAAAGCTGAAGCAAAGGAAAGTAGGGAAATTTTTCTAAAGACTATTATCGTCAGGCTAATGCAATTATGAATTAGATAATCGTTGGGATAAAAATTCATCGCTAGCGTAGCACAGTTATGCCCTGTTGAGTTTGTGAGATGCCGCGGTCAGTGTCCAATTTTGAACACAGCCGTGGATCGATGAGACAAAAGTCAGCTGACTGATCTAGGGCCGTGGGAGAATAATGCTTTGCACAAGTGCTTTCCGTTCGCACGATACCGACTGTAGCCTTTTTCATCGTTTTGTTCTCTGAAATACCGTGAACGTTGGAGTGTGTGGGGCCTGAAGATGCCAAAGAAGAGGTGATTGTGCTTGTCTTGGTGAGTTCGGCTAACCTACTTAGCCAATAATTCGGAATTGATCGCGATGGGAGCCTTTTAAGTCGACGACGTATGCGAGTGGGTTAGAAACAACCGCTTTCACACACTTCCAATTTAGTGATTCGATTCACTCGCGCCTACAACATGTCCAAACAAACGGGGAATCTAAGCATCAGCTACCGTTGAGATACTAGTCAGCACAGAGAGCATGCGATGGATTTCAACTCCCCGACTGTTGAATTGCTACTTGGATGTCGGGTGCAGATATGTCAGTCGTGATTGACCCACTCGTGCAAATTAGTTCGCTTCATTGACAGTAACAGGGTTTGGGAAGCATCTGAGTAGTCTTGTCGTTCGATTATCAGTCTACGCTACATCCAGGTACCGACATTCAGCTACACTGGTGTTAACAGAGAAGATAAAAAAAGGAATTCAAAGAACGGGAAGCACAAACACCTGGTTACTGCAGGGAAGAGCTCTTCCTCCGTTCTACTGCGTGATGTGGATGCGGAACTCTTGTCAACACTTGAACATAGTGCGTGTTTCACATCGGGTGTGCCTGCAACAGTGAGACAAGGTCGGTTATCGGAGATGTGCTCCCACTCAAAGTATACGGGAACTAAAAAAGAATCACAACAAACAAATCCTAAATTTACTATGGCTCTACTTTCCGAAAGCATTTCGTGATGTACCTATCAAGGTGGGAGGTAAGTGGTTAAAAGAACCAGAGAAAGTTCATTGTGTGATGATGCAGTAGAAGAAAGCAAAGTTCGCCTTTCGGGTAGCTCACCAACATGTCTAGGAGACATGCGAGCTCCCAAGGCTGTGCGAAGCTACATAGTGCATCTTCCTTACAAAAGCACTGGCTTCTTCTGAGCCGTTTGGTAGACAGCTGAGCATTCTGCACTACTGACGAAGAAGCTAGATAAACAGCCCGAGGATGCCTTCAGAAGTTAGAAGTTCAACCAAGTCTCGTGAGTCTATTTCTCACCAGACAGTTGCATTATATATTAACATAAGTCGAACAGACGAAGCCGTGGACTGGTCAAGGAGTCAACCTTGACGAGTGTTACCAGTTTCGGGATTCTAACATCTCATGAGGGCTTCGTAGACCCTTGCAACCATCACTAAGGCAGAAGGACCTGGTGGCAGCATTGAATCATAAAGAGAGCCGGTGGGATGCACCCGCCAAACGAGACTTAACATACACCTGCGGCCATATTCAGTGTATCTTAAATCATGGAGTAGGTTTTAAACAAATGCCGGTGTAAGTTTTTCTCCTTACGAACCGCACTCAACCAATTGTGACATTCGTGCCTGAGTCATTATCAGTTCCAAAGCTTAAGGATCGGTCAGTGGTATTTACATTGATACCAATAATAAATTGTATTACACAGCATGACACGCTGAGCAAGTACTTTCTTGTCATCCTAGGTACCTTCTTGCTGGTAGCATTTTTGTTAACATCGATCGGTGTCACTGTGTATTACAGCAACACATTTTTCCCAGGTTTCTCATCAGAGAATCTTTGAATCACTAGCTGCCAACTGGACGCGGTAGTAAAGGCAACGGTGGTGTTCTGGATGTGCACCGCTATTTTGACGGCACATGTCTTTTAGCAAAGTACGTGTTATCTGTTGACTTATGCTCATTAGTTTAACCACCTCGTGATCCGTGATCAAGTGCGTCGCAGGCCCACACAATGCACTGCGTAAACAACGTACGGCATACGAGGTAGTGCTCTACTGTTCGTAAACGTTTTTGCTCACAGCTAGGTCACTGCGACAAACCAGATGACACCATACTGATTCACTTCACCGAGGACTTCTCGTTGAACAAGGAACAATTGGTTTGACCGAAACAAGAAAAGTAACGGTCGTCTTCATCGACATGCACATTTAAACTGGAAACCTACCGTTGTGCTCAATGGCCGCGGTATTCACCGTTACCTTCAAAGTTGCTTTGAGCACATGATCGAATCTTCCCTCGGCTTCTTCCCCATGCAATGTGCCACAGTGCTCCAACTTTGGCAATTCGGGATTGGGCGGATTTATGGTCAGACCGTTTACCGTGGGGGTTGTCATACACTTGAAAACGGGTGGTTCGGTAGTTTCGCATGGTGCACAAGCCAGCTGGGAATCCACTTGCTGTTTCATTCTCGTTTGGTCACTAACGGTAAACAGAAGTAAACTGGAATTCGGAGCGCTGATTGGACTATCGGGAGAGAAAGACCTAATTTCAAGACGGCTTTCTAAGCTCGATATGAAGGCAGAAATGTTTCCGAAGGTAGCCATTTGGATATGCAGGGGAACAGATATGAGAAGTCACAATTGCACGAAACTCTAGTGTAGACAACTAATTCGATGTCGTTCTATTCTGCAAATATTTGATAATGCTTATTTGGTGTATTTTCTGAACAGAAATTTTCCACATAAACCTGCATCCGACCAAAGGAAGCAACAAATTTGTGATAAAAATATGTCAAGTTCGCAACATCGGTGTTGCCCAATGGACGATCCGATGCAGATTAAATGATTGCATTTTCAGTGGTACAGCGAGCGAGAACCTATTCTAGCGGAGTCAGTATGTATCGTGTCAACACTTAGAACATTTGAATCATTGCATTCCCTGTATCATTCTAAACAATGCAATGAGAAGACAAGTGTTTCAGATATCATTTCGTGCTCTGTGATCACATACAAACGCGCAACATACTAAACGAGCACTGAGGGAAAGAATCAATAGTTTGAATGCTGGCAGAAAGGAAGAGAAGACACAACGGCACAGGCCACAGCAGAATCACAAGTTGTGAACCAGTGTCAGTCCCCAAGGAAACTTAAGTGTGACAGTCAGCTGTTTTTTTACACAAAGGTCAGGACGATTGCGACTGATGGTCAAAGCCTCAGCGAGCGTTTACATATTGCGGTAGATGACCGTAAACGCCACGTCCGGGGCAACTTGATGACCGGGACTTAGCAGCCTACCGTGAGGCTGCTCCCCAACCTTGACCTTGAATCCACTTGAGGACGCCCACCTAACCAGCTGGATTTAGTCTGGTAATGTGTTCTACCAATCCCACAGGTAGCTTATTGGTGTTGCTAGCACTCTATGTTTCTCTGTACTGAACTTTAACAGTTCCAACAATCTCAGAGATCCCTCTTCGAAGCAATCTGAACAACATAGCCCTTTGGAATGCGATAAGACTTACTTCAGTAACCTTGAATTCAAATAGAGGAACTCAGTTCCCGAGTCAGTCGTTTGCGCACCCACACCATCAGTACGTAAAAGGTGGCGGGAAGATTCATACAGTTAGCTACATATCTAGCTACAATATTCCTGCTTTCGAGTTCCAGAACTACTGGCCTAGTTCTACTAGCTGACAACTATGACTGTTGCAGGACCAGATGGGGATCAGAACCCGTACCTTAGATGCAAAAGTTGCTGCTGTCTTCTTGCCAGGAACCGTACGATACTTTTCCTTATGTTATCTTAATGAAAGTCCCGTCCTCCCACCCAAATGAACTTACAATCACAAGGTACTCCACTTGTAATAAACCAGTATCCACTGGCAACGTCTAGAGCCCTATGCACAAGCCGTCACCGTCGATTACCTCTGTCAGCCTCTGGTAATCTATGGGCTCATTTTATCGGCCGCTGTGGCAGGCATCCTCATCTTTGTGTTTTCCGAACGCATCTCCCCTACAGTCTGGATCACATATGAGCGTGCGCAGTAGTTACACAAGATTTTGTAAATACAGTTGGTACATCCAGCTGAAGAATACGACTTTAACTGCATCAGCAGTGGATGTGTCGTTTAGTGCATTACGAAATCTGTCATGGTTTCATTTTGTTCAGTAGTCCCAGAAGTTTCCACGATGCTCTGTATGAGAAATCCATATTGTGCTTAATTGCTCCATGATACCTCCTGAGTGTAAGGGCATTGTACAACTCTGTTTCTCAAGACACTGTGGAAATAAAACCTATTGCAAAACAGTTTTTGTCTTTAATTTTAGCTCAAAAGCTGGATGAGAGTGGTAGTCTTAAAGAAAATGGATACTAGCAAATCTACTGATTACCGGAAAATCCTTAACCGGTCCCATAAATAAAACTGCCTGAAAGCAAGCTAAAACCCATCGGATGCCAGTACTTCCTGTTCTGTAATAGCATCCCCGATAGTGCACATCAAAGTCAGATTGTAGTGAGAGGGTTGCAGTTCGCTGCCATCCTTTGGGCGACATTTTAACCCTATTTCTTCTGGGGTTCGTTTTTATAGAAACATTCTAGAATGCGATTTAAGCATTGATTTAATTAAGGCAAAATTAGATTGGCCAAAATGATTGCAGAATAATAAGGATTACTATCTTTTTTGAAAGTCCAGTCAAAAATACCTATTACGATCCTTTGATACGTTAAACCATATTTAAAAAGCGTCCTTAAAAGCGCCACAAGAAATACTAATAATAGTAATAATACTATTATTAATAATACGTATATTCCTGATTGTTCGAGAAACTGTCCCTGGATTGTGGACAGATCATGGATACAATAATTATCATGCACATGCATGAGTGCAATATGTAATATAGGGTGCATGATTTCAAAATAATATGGAATCACGTAACTTTTGTTGTTACTGAGTTTTCTGTACCACCTTTAATCATTGATTATATATTCCTTGGTCCATCCTGAAAGAACTCGTGTGGTGATTTACCCGATGGAAACATGGTCATTATCGAGTTCTGGTCAAGGAATTTGCTAAGCTGAATGTGGAATATTCTTGCATTTGTGCAAGACCTGATTGTGGCTGGTAGGCTATTCCACACGACAGCGTATCTGACGAGGAAGAAGTTTGATCGGATAGCTGTCCTGGTTCTCGGCACACATAATGTACAAGTCTTGTTGCGTATATTCCGAGTGAAGTTATGTTGAATTTTAAGTGTACACAGATTGGAGTAGTCTTTTGGTTTATAAGATTGTGTATCAGCATCAGGTTGTTTCAGTCGTCGCAACTAAAGGGGTTCGAGCTTAAGCTGCTGGCAGCGCTCCTGATAACTCAAGATGGCTGATTTACTGAACAAGCGCTTAGTGAATGATCTTTGCAAGTTTTCTAAAGCTTTCCTGTCACCCATTCGCATGTTCCCATAGATGATGCTGCAGTATTCAAGGACAGGAAGTGCAAGTATTTTGAAAACCTCGAGTCTGGCAGGGGTTGTATAGATTTTATGGCATATGTTAGCCGCAGATCGTTTGGCAGGTGCTATTTGATAATCAGCAGGCTCTGAGAAATTAACGTTTGAAGAGTATTGTATGACTAGACCACAGATGAATAGTTTCACACAGATACATGCATTGTTCAGTTTAACAGACTCTTCAGGAATTGAACAGCCGTGTCACATAATGCATGATTTACTAGCTGAGGAATTTAGCATCGTGTGTTGCACCATTTCTCAAGTGAATCGAGGTCTTCCTGAACGAACGGCATTGCGCTATTGAGTTCGTCTCATCAAAATTTATAAACAATCTTTATGTCATCGGCGAACAAAAATGGCCTGCCATGTTTTATGAACACCATGATATCGTTAATATAAAGTAGGAAAAGCGAAAGACCAAGTGCACTCCCTTGGATGACACCCCAAGTGATTGGACGTGGGGAGGAATTATGATTACCCAGAGTGACTATCTGGTAACACCCATTTAGGTATGATGTCAACCAACCAAATGGTGGGTCTCTGATTCCAAACGACTCGATTCTTTTCAGTAGCCGCTTGTGGGGCACTCTGTTGAATGCTTTCTGCATACCCAGGAACAGTATTATAACTGCATATTTCGAATCAATGGCTTCTGTGATGTAATCCATGTAGTGCAACTGACACGTTGTGCAGGAACGTTTGTCGAGGAACCCATGCTGGAATTTGTTAAGTAGCCCATGACGATGGATAAAGTCCATGATTCCACTTTTAATTAATTTTTCGAGTAATCTAGCGATGACGGGAGTATGATGGATAGCTCGATAATTAGTGAAGTGCTGGTTGGCCCCCCCTTTATGACGAGGAACAATAAACGATGCTTTTCACTGGTCCGAAAAGTAGCTAGATTCTAAGGACAAGGTGAACATGTTTAGCAAAAGCAGCGGTATGTCAGGTCCACCAAGTTTTCATAACTGATGGGTGGGGATGCCGTCGGAGTCTGGTTTTGAGCGTTGGTTTGACGGACTTCATAGCCCTTTGGATGGCCGAAAGAGAAACCTCGACATTATCTATGTCGCTTGTTGTAAGTTCCGGGCAGCAAGGTATAGGGTCAATTTCTATGTTCATGGAAGCAGCGAAAAATCGGCTAAACGCTTCACAAATAGCAGGTGGTTCCTTAAGGTGACGACCTTCCTCCTCACTAAGTTCTGTACTCAAAGACATTCCATTGCTAGTCTTACGACGGAGTAATTTGGCTAGTTATTTTCCTTTGCATGTCATTTGCAAGACGTTCTCCTCTTCCTTTTCAATCCGTTTCATTTGTGAGCGCTTGATGCAGGCGGTGGATTCGTGCAGCTGTAATACTAGTGAGGTCTCTAGTTTTTACGAATTTCCCGAGTAGTTTTCTCATTTTCAATTCACTCTGAGTGTGGCTTACATTCATAGGACAAGGAATCACACGTTTATCATGCGGGACATGTACAGTTAGGATGCAATTGAGCTGGTAGTAGAAATGTTCCACTGCAATTTGGGTGCTAGTGGAGAGAAAGAACCCATCACAGTTAGAGGACCGGATCTGCTCTCCGAAATGCTCCCAGCCAATCCTTCGTATAGTGTGCTGGGTAGGTGAGTCCAGTTTGGTATTCATTTCCAAGTGGATGGAAAGGCGTAGCATGTTGTGGTCCCTATCCGGAAGGCTGTCTAAGATGTCAATTTGTGCGTCAGGAATCCCCAGGATGAATATTAAATCCAGTATG